TTTTATCATGTAAAGATAGGAATAGATATTAAATTTTGAGATAAGTAAAAAAATGAGTATAGTTTAAAAATTTTTATAGAATATAGGGATGAATAATATAGCAATCACCTTGTATTCGTATCCTAAATATTTATATAAATATATATAATAGATAGATTTTTTTTTTTTAAGATTATTCATCTCTTTAGAGATGAATTTTTTTGTGTTGATTAAATGGCCAGCTGGGCTATAGTGAGGATTGTACTCATTATGTTTTGGCCAACCCTCTTAAAGGGGAAGATATCCTAGGAGTAGCAAGATCTAGAACCTCTAGAATTTAAGTGGTTTGACCACTCTTTTGCAGCAAAAAATTAGATTTTTTATTTAATCTTATAAATTTTTTTTATTTTAAACTAATTAGATCTAAAATATTTTTATTTATAAAAAATTAAAATAAATGTGCAAGATAAAAAAATTTAAAATAATTTTTTATTTTTTAATAAGTTATGAAGATTATTTATACTTATTAAATTCTCGCAAGAATAGTGATGTAATAAATTTGAAATATTGATTCAGATACAAAGATAGAATTAATATAAAAAATCATAGATGAGAATGGGATGATAATGTCCTAACTATTTCATACTCTATCTATTGGCATCCCTAATCAAAATAATAATAATAATAATAATAATAATAATAATAATAATAGTAATAACAATAAACCTTGAGTAAGTAGGATGCATTTAAACCACATGGCTTAACTTTGTTATTATCGCATTTGGTTGATTGATGTATTGATACTTTGCTCAAAGAGTAAGCTTTGAATGTCCTTTAGCTAGATGATTTTAATTTGTTTGGAGTTACATACTCTTTATCACTTACCTGAGATCATTTGCTGTCTCAGATGACAGAGCAAATCATGCACCACTGCCAAAATAAGGTTAAGCGCATATGATAAAAGGTGATCTGGATTAAATGTTTTACCCATACTATAGCCAGGAATTTCGGAAGACTTGAGTACCTTTATGCATTTTAATTTCATAGGCTAAAAGTAAAAGGAAGATGGACGAGAAAGACAGTTCTTCTTTGGTTAAAATTTCGAAAGATTGGAATTCTGCACAAACTAAGAGTACTGAAGACAATGCCAAAGATTCGACATAAATGGTAGTTTATGATAACTTACTTATTATTGTTATTAATTATTATCTAACTTGAAACTGACCTGTTGAAATACCAGATGTGATCCATCTTTAGACAATTGGTTGGAGTTACAATGCTTCGCTTCTGAGTCTTGCTGGTGAAAGCAGAGAGCATGGAAGCTTCGGTGTGCAGTCGGAACATGTTGGAAACATCAAAATGAAGTAAGTCCAATTGTAATTGTTTATTAGATCCCCTTATCTATTTTCTACAATTTTCTATGGCGAATAAATAATTATCTAAATATTAGACCCAACCCTTTACTCAAAATCTTAATTTTTTTACTTAAATAAAATATTTTATCATCGTGTTATGGGCAGGCTTGTGTTCAGAATTCTAATCCGCAGCCCTGCCTAATCTCCATCTTTCTTTGAGCAGGCCAGAAAAGCATAAGGAGGTGGGAAGGCAATAAGGATGATTGTACTTACCCTTGATTTATTTTTATTTTTCATCTTTGATTGGAATCTGGAAAGGATGCCAGGCAAAACTCGACATTTTGCTTTACTTTGCGTTGAATCTCCCTCCAGTGTTCACAAACTGACGAACCAAAGGAGTTCCCTTCTTCCTTTGCGTTGCTTTCATTGCTGTCTTGCTTACATTTGCCCTTCACTTGGTTGCATTTTTTATCTGCCAAAAAAACATGCCAGAACTTCCATAATGTTAGAAAAAGTTGCTCTGCTCCTAGCCGCAGCTGCATTTTTGCCATGCCATTACATTTGCTTTTCCGTTGAACCTAAAATTTGCTACATGGACTCTATGTTTCCTTTCCTTGTTTGTTATAGTGATTTGAAAATTCTTGTGTGGAAACATTCATCCATGATTCTAGTAGAGCTAGTGCATATATAGTTGTTATGTATGTACTTTTATCAATATGCCACAGAAATGGAATTCTTCCCAAAATCAGATTGTATTTTACTTTAGTCAATTTGGTTCAAAAAAATCTTTTGTTGTGTCTTGATCATAATCACAAAAAGCCTAGTTCATAATAAATACATAAGTTTTGTTTTAAATATTTTAACTAAATAATTTAATTTCTATTTGAATTTTGTGATTGTATTTAAGTTTTCATTCAATAAAAAACTATACAATACAAAGGAATTAAATTTCTATTCAACAGAAAGCCCAATCATTTGATTCTCATTTAACTCAGATTTAAATAAAGAATGATAAGGGAATAATCTTACAGCCAAACAAAACCTCATTTTTCTTGTCTTTTTTTCAACCACCATTCAGCCCCTCTTTCTTTATTATTAATTTCCAAACAAAGACAATAATTTCACGTCAAAATCATATATAAATTTTGGGTTTGATAGTTTTCAATTGATTAAGTTTAGTTGAATTAATCAAAGGAATTTAAAATTCAATGTAAAGATTTGAGAAAACAGAGAAGAAGAGAAACCAAAACTTTTATATCCTACTAAGTTAACCATTAAGTGAAAGAGACGGGAATTATATTTTAATAGAAAAGAAATTAATCTTAACAATTTTAAACTTTGATTAATATATTAATTAATACTCTTCGTTTAAATAATCAATAATATCATAACTTATAATTTATAAATTTATCATAAATTAGTATCTATTCAAGTCAATACTTTTCGATTCAAAAATAATGAATCGAACAATGCAATTTGAATATGTTTTGTCGATTTTTTGATATATTTTTTTCTACACAAATCTAGACTAAATTGTTACATAATTTAAAGTTTATTATTATATATTTTTTTTTTATCTATGCCTCCAACTTATGTTTACAAATAAGATATATGTTAGTTTTTTAATTTTAGAATTAAAAAAATTCACTAACAATGTATTAAATAGAAGCTCCTTTCCTGTTATATATTGATCTATTGCAATCAATATTCTCCCTATTTTTTAATTGAATATCAATCTTAGACATAAACAAACATGCTGTTCATTTGAATGGTGAAATAAAATATACATTATAGTAAGTTATTAAGACTTTATTTGTTTTACTTGAACTGTCGTAGATTAAACCCAATCGTTAGATCATATGGCGGTTGGCATTGGCAAGCATGTTGCAATAAGACTAAACTTGATGCTGTTACTATATGTACTACTTGTGAATCGCAAAAGATAATAAATTGATTAATGGAGAGGGACAGCAATGGTACTGAAAATGAATGTTACTGCTGCAAGGATGATTGCTACTTTCTCCAACAATTTGGATATCTTGCCAAACCTCCGATTGATGAATGTTGCAACAAAAAGCAAAATGTGAAAAAAGAGACTAACTTGAGGGATGGAGAGAGTTTGGATTGCGATTTTGCAAACTGGAAAACTATCTCAATGGATGATGTAAAGCAAAATGTTAGTATTGCAAATTCTGTTGAGCAACAATTGCGGCGGCTATCTGTGCCTCTAGGCCCATGGAAGGAGGTGGAGGCCATGGCGGTGATGATGGAGGAGGTTACTCTTGGGCATCATTTATAATCTGTGGATGAATGTCCATTAATTTTAATTTGTGTGTATCAAAGTATCCTACTATGTGGAACAGAGAAGAGGCGTGACTAAATTGGAGTTTTGGTTGACTATTTATAAGTAGATGTATTAAAAATTAAAAATTAGACTAAGAAACAAAAAAAAAAAGAGAAGAAAAGAAACAATATGGATGTCGAATGCTTTTAAATTAGTTTTTCAAAGATTTTTAAAAATAAAATCCGTATTTTAATTTAATTAGTTAATATAATTATTTAAAAAAGATAATATAAGTAAGGAGTTTAAATTTTAATTTTTTTAATTTTTTTATTCTCAAATTATAAAGTTTTTATAAAAAATACAAAACTTATTAAATGTTTTTCATTTAAAGATCCAATGAACTTAATTGGTTAAGGTTTGTAATAAAAAATTTTGAATTTGAATTTTATCAATGATCATTTGTTAAAATCATCTTGAATGTATAACTTACAATTTTATATTTTAAACTGTTAAGTACGATATATTTTATCTTGACTTAAGGACTAAACAACCCCCTTAACCCAAATTTATTTTTCCAAAAAAAGTAATTTTTCATTTTTCATACAACACAAACGTGAGCATGACTTGAAAAGCACGACAATTTAGGGGTCTTATGGCTATAGAAAGAAAGAAAAGCCATAAATATAAAAAAAAACGAGTTTTAGTAATTAAAATTAAATTATCTTTTCAAACTATTATAATTAATTAAATTCTCAAATTTTATTTTTATTAATTGAATTTTTATTATTCAAAATTACTTAAGCGTCATTTTCTTTTCAATTGAAATTTTAATTAGATTAAAATAAATATTTAATAATTTAATTAAATGTAATAAAATAATAAAAACTTAAATAATTATTTAATTTTTGTTAAAAGACTTTTTTTTTTGTATTTAACCCAAGAAAAACTTTTGGGATAATGCATAATTTTTTCTTTGTTTTGGTTCACCAATCCAAATTCATGTTAAAAACAGAATGGATTGCTTGTTGGACCAAAAATGGAGCAATTAAACTTTTCTTTTGTCCTTAATGAATCAGAGTTAAAAAATTTCACATATGTTATAAAAAAATTTGACATCTATAACTATATTTTTAATTAAAAAGTACAAACAAACATTTTTATTATTTAATTAAAAATATAAGTTTGTTAAATTAATATATTTGATGCAAACAAGAAATTAATGCACCCTAGTATGTTCTATCATTATTAAAATACCACATCATCAAATTAAAGATAAAAATCTTTATCAATTATTTTTAAATTATGTCGTTTTTTAATAAAAATGCAAGAAAAAAATTCATTAAAATTAGAATCCAATAACGAAAATCGGTGGAATTGAGAAAGTAGAAACATAAAATTCAAATTTCCAGTGAAAGTAAACGTTATTTTGAAAATTTTGTGCAGAAACAAAACAAAATGTGATTCATATTTTGATTGGAAAATTTATGGTCAATGAAAAAAAAGAAAGTAGTAGTTGTTGTAGCAATTTCTAGGAAGGGGAGGTTACTTCGATGAACCAAACAAGCAAAGTGGAGAAAGAGGCTCAATGTTTGGCTTTAATTATTGGTCTGTCAAAACCCCGTGAGGTGTGGGAACTGGGGACCACCATAACAAATCACGCGCTATTGCTTTTGCTGGACTTTTGTATTCTCAAGTTCATCGGTAGCGACATCCTTCAACCCCAAATTTCTACCAGTATTTGCCTACAGTGATGGTCTCTTCTGCTTTGGAAGTCTTGTAGACTGCGCTCGAGCTATTGAAGATAGGGATCTGAAACTTGCCGATTCACTACTTGAGCAGATCTGGACTCTTGCTGCTTACAAACCCAACGAACAACAAAGCAAAGTTGTGAAATACTTTGCGGAAGCTCTAGTTCGCCGAGCGTACGGGCTCCATCTTGACTCAGACAATTTCAAATTGCAGATGGGTCATCCATTAGATTTTCTGTAAGAAAGCCGTGATGGGAAAGAAGCGAGTGCACCTCATTGATTTCCGCATACCACATCTGTATGGATGTCATATTAGTCCGTGTCGAGCCAATCTCGTATCAGTCCGTGTAAGTGTCATATTACAACGGTCCCTGAAAAAATTTGTAAATGTCCAAGAAGAACAGCAATAGGTCACTGAGCAGGCCAAGCAACATGGTGTAAAGTTGGAGAAGTTGGAAGTGGTTTACGCTAATAATTTGGAAGAAGTGGATGCGTCTATGTTGGATTTCAGAAGAACAGAGGATGAGGCTGTGGTCGTCTTCTATCTCTTTAAATGGATGATGTAAAGCAATATGTTAGGATTACACTTTGACATTGCAAATTCTGTTGAGCAACAATTTCAACGGTTATCTGTGCCTTTGGGCCCATGGGAGGAGGTGGTGGCGGCAGCGATGATGACGGAGGAGATTGCTCTTGGGCATTATTTGTAATCTGTGGATGAATGTCCATTAATTTTAATTTGTTGTGTATCAAAATATACTTCTATATGAAAAAGAGAAGGGCGTGACTAAAATTGAAATTTTGATTGGCTATTTATAAGTAGATGTATTAAAAATTAAAAAGAAAAAAAGAATAAGAAAACAATGTCGGATGTCGGATACTTTTAGGTTGGTTTTCAAACCTATCTAAAAATAAAATCTAAATTTTAATTTAATTAATTAACATAATTATTTTAAAAAGATAGTATCTAGTAAGGAATTTAAATTTTAATATTTATAATTTTTTATTTTTAAATTATTATTTTTTTATAAAAAATAAAATACAAAGTTTATTAAATGTTTTCAGATAACCGAACTAAGAACAAGTAAAATATACTATCATAGGATGAAATCAGTTTACAGCTTTACAGACTATCATATTGGTTTGAAAAGAAGAAAATTAATGTAAGCTATAGTAAAGATTTCTAAATATTTGATGGATTTAATTTGTAGTTTTTAATTTTTCATAAGACACAAATTTGGACATGACTTGAAAAGAACAACCATTTAGGGTTTGATGACTATTGAAAGGAAAAAAAGACATAAATATAAAAAAAGTTTCTTAATTAAAATTAAATAATTTTTTAAGTTTCTATCATTTTATTATAATTAATTAACTAAGTCTTTATTAGACAAAATTACTTAATAATCAATATTTTTTTCAATCAAAAATTTAATTGGATAAAAATAAATATTCAAAAATTTAATTAGATAAAAATAAATATTTAATGATTTAATTACATGAAAATAAATATTTAAAAATTCAGTTGAATGTAATAAAATATTAAGAACTTAGATAATTATTTAATTTTTATTAAAAACATTTTTTTATATTTAACCCAAGAAAAAACTTTTTGAACGATGCATAATTTTTTCTTTGTTTTGGTTGACCAATCCAAATTCACATTAAAAACAGGATAGATTACTTGTCGGACCAAAATTCGGAGTAATTAAGGGGTTGTGGTCAATTTTATGTTTTATATCATATATTTTTAAATATTTTATTTTATTTTTTTATTTAATTAAAGTTGAAAACACATATAAGAATTAGCATTTTGTTAAGAATATTAAAAAACAAAGGACCACGTAAAGAAGTAATTATGGGCATGGGTTGTGAAAGTGGCAGTGGTTTGAATCTAAGAAATGGCAGTTTTGATGATTTTTTTTTAATTTTTTTGCATTAAAATTGATATTGTTCATGCGCAATTACTGTTCACCCGCATAATAAATGTGATGAAAATATTTTCAATATATTGAAAACATGTTTTTTTCACTTTCAACAATTTTTAAAATTTTATTTTTAATTTTTATTTAAAAAAACCTATCAAACATAATTTTGTTTCTAATTTTTAAAAATGTAAAATTAAAAACATAAAAAATAAAATAAAAACATCTCCAGACGAGTTCTAAACTTTTCTTCGGTCATTCATGAATCATAGTTACGAAAGTTTACATATTTCATTAAAAAAAAGTGACATCTACAAGTACAACTATATTTTAATAAAAAATACTAACAAATAATTTTACTATTATTTAATTAAAAATATAAATTTGTTAGATTAATATATTTGATGCAAACAAGAAATTAATCCGTCTTAACATGTTTTATCATTATTAAAATATCACATCATTCAAATTGAAGATAAAAATCTTTATCAATTATTTTTAAATCATTTTATTTTTTAATAAAAATGCAAGAAAATATTCATTAAAATCAAATAATGAAAATCGGTGGAATTGAGAAAGTAGAAACATAAAATTTAAATTTCCACTGAAAGTAAACGTTTATATAGAAAATTTTGTACAGAAACAAAACAAAATGTGACTCATATTTGGATTGGAAAATTTATGGTCAATGAAAAGAAGATAGTTGTAGCAATTTCTAGGAAGGGGAGGTTACTTCAATGAACCCAAAAAGCAAAATGGAAAAAGACGGTTCAATGTTTAAACAGTTTGTGGGGACTGAGATGCTTTCGCTTTAATTTATTGGTCTGTCAATACCGCGTGAAGTGTGGGGACTGGGGACCACCACAACAACGAATGACGCGCTATTGCTTTTGCTGGAATAGTTTCATCATCTATTTGTATACTCAAGTTCATCCGTAGCTACATCCTTCAACCCCAAATTTCTACTAGTATTTGCCTACGGTGATGGCCTCTTCTGCTTTTCCGGTCTTACTAGACTGCGCTCGAGCTATTGAAGTTGGGGATCTGAAACTTGCCGATTCACTGCTTGGGCAGATCTGGACTCTTGCAGCTGACGAACCCGACGAAAAACAAAGGACGGTTGTGAAATACTTTGCAGAAGCTCTAGTTCGCGAGCGTACGGACTCCATCCTGACTTTGCCTATTTCAAATTGCAGACGACTCCTCCATTGTATTTACGGTATTGGGATGGTATTGATGAAGGGAGTATCGATGATGCCATCAACAACACCGTGATGGGAAAGAAGCGAGTGCACCTCATTGATTTCCGCATACCACATCTCTATTACACTGAAGACTTGTTTGATTTACTAACCGATGCTTTTGACGATCTCATATCAGTCCGTGTAAGTGTCATATTACCACCGTCTCTGAAAAAATTTGTAAATGTCCAAGAAGAAAAGGATTATATCACTGAGGCGGTCGCGCAATATAAATTTAAGTTGGAGAAGTTTGAAGTTGTTTACGCTAATAGTTTGGAAGAAGTGGGTGAGTCTATGTTGGATTTCAGAAGAACAGAGGATGAGGCTGTGGTCGTCTTCTATTTCTTTAAACTCTCTATGTTGCTGAGAGAGGCTGGAATATTGGAGAGAGAGTTGTTAAAGTTGAGGAATATAAACCCGGACTTTGTGATAATAAAAGAGTATGCTGCTAATCATAATCACTCCGATTTCATTAGACGCTTTGAGGACTCTTTTCAACATTACTCCCATGTTTTTGGTCTAGGTCTAGACAATAAAGAAGAGAATTGTTTAAGGCGACATATAAATAATATAGTGGGATGTGAAGGTAGGGATAGAATTGTGCGACACCATACTTTGGATCAGTGGCGATCCCACTTGGAAACAAATGGCTTTTTTCCATTTCCACTCAAGATGGACCAGATTAGCAGGCTTAGTGATTGCTATCGTGAGGACAATGGGTGTTTGGTTAGGATCGAGGAGAATTGCCCTCTATATTTCACATCGGCATGGAAACTCAAAGATGGGGAGCATCACTTCAATCCAATCGGCAATAATTTTGTTCAAGGTATTTTTCTATTTTGAATTATTCTCGACATGTTTAAAAAATACAGTTAGTAAAATTTACACTCCTCTCTAGTCATGATTTTGTAGCCCGTAATATAATTGTCTATATGTTTTTCTTTTTTAAGTTATAATTATTAATAGTTCATATCAATAATCAATAATAATAACTCTAAATCTGTTCAAAAAATAATAATAACTCTAATTGTCTGTAGTTAATATCAATAATCCCTTATATTATTTACATTTTTCACTTTCAATTGACCTTCTATTTATTGACATTTAGCGAGTAACTATTGTATGATGCAATTGTAGACTTTAATTGGGTTGAAAAAATTTGAATTGTATTTTGTATGGGCTCGAGTTTGATAGATGAATATGTTTTGTATAATAATGTGTTGGGCTTTCTATATGTTAATGAATTGTTAAAATTTATTATTCCCTTTGTTTTGAAATTATTATTCTTTATTAACTTTTTTTTTAAAATTAAATCAAATTTGATCATTATGTTTAATAAAATTATAAAATCAAAAAGCTTTTAAAAATAAGATTTGTAAACTTTGAATTTCAAAAATTTCAAAACATACTATTAATTTAATATAATACTTTAAAAAAATGAAGGTCAAAGTTAAGTTAGTTTGATAAAAAAAGTCAATAAGGGACAATTATTTTGAGAGGGTATGAGTATAAAAGATGATGAAATATACACAATTTAAACAGAAAACTTTTAGTTGTGGTAGCTTATTGCTATTTTTTTTAAAGGAATCTATTTATTATATATCATATTCTTTATGCTTTGGGCAGAGAGAAGAAGAGAAAAAAAAGGAAAAATGCAAGAAAAGAAAGGAAAAAGAAAAGTGAAGCAAAAGAAAGAGTTAAAACATAATTTTTATTTATTATTTGTAATAAAATAAAAATTAAATTTTTTAAAAATAATAATAATAGATAGAAATATAAAACTACATAAAAATAGAAAATTAAAATTAAAACAAAATCAAAATCAAAATCAAATCAAAATCATTTCATTAAAATTTATAATTGTTATACTTTTATTATTTTTTCTTTTGTTTTAGACGTTCTCACTAAAAGAAAAAAAAGAAACTTTATAAATTTCAATAAATTAAAAAATAATAAATTTGATTAAATAATTAATAAAAAATATAATGCTCATAACCTAGCACAAAAATCTAACAACAAAACATAATTGCAATATATGAAATATAATCTAAATATTTTTATAAAATAACATTTTATGAATTAGTTTTTAATTATTTTTACATAATAATAATAATCATATAAATACTAAAAACAATGAAAATTTTTGTTGAAAAACAATTCACCCCGACATAGCCTCGTACCTTTTTTTAATTAATAACTTTAATTTTCTCCAATGTTATAACAATTATGAAGTTCATTTATTGATTCTTCTCCATTAATTTAATAATATGATAATATAATTCTCCCTCTTTCTTATATTGTATCTCCTTGATTTAAAATAAACTAAAAAAACCAAAACTTTAATTTTAATGCATTTTATACGAAATTTTATTTTTTATAAATAACTGTTCCAAGTTTTTAATGTGAAATATAAAAATTCATGAAAAATAAATTTAAAATATTTAAAAAGACTATTAAGTGTTAAAACATTTTCAATATAATTTTTAAAAATATTTACAAAAAAGAAAAGATGGGCAAAAATAATAAGAGGAAAAAAACATAATTAAAATTATTCCTTGATTAGTGAAATTTTCTTGAACAAAATAAACTAAAAAATATATACTTAAAAATTTATCACTATTTAATCTGTCATCAAAATTTACCATGAATTTATGAGCGAGTGTAATTTACATAATTTATATCAATCAAACATTAACAAAAAAAAAGTTCATGAAATATTTATTTTAAAAATATAAAAAGATCACTAATATGGTTGGTATGAAGTTGACTTTTTTTCTTTTTTTTTTCTTGTTTTGTTTTATATATTACCAAAGAACAATGTTTTTAGGTAAAAATGATTGTTTTCTAAATCATGTAGAATGCATTTGTTGATAAAATTGTATTTTAAAAGTATAAAATAACGTTTGGAATGAAATAAGTAAAGGGAAATTGAATGCTATATTTTAAAATGACAATTTGAAAGTTAAAGAGTAGGCATTTGAATACCCTGGTTGGGTATTTGAATACCCACATTTTGGAAAGCAAACATCCGAATATCCTATGTTTGGCATTCGAATATCTACACTTTAAGACTAAAATATAAGCATGTTGGAATTCTTTCATTCCAAAAGTTGCATCAATTCATTTGAATGATGCTTTTACGTGGAAGGTGGTTTGAAACACCTTATGAGGTCATAAATATTTCTCTAAACACAATTTTAACAACCTTACATCTTTTCATTCTGAAAGATCAAAAACAGTTTTATCTTCCTATGCTCTTTTTTTTTTTTTTGGGTTCATGGTTCACATGAGTTCAAGAAAAACATGAAGTGCAATCATTTTCTTCTTCAACTTTAGGCATTTTTTCTTGGGTATAACGTCTCCAAGAATCCATTTGCATTGCAGTAGGGAGACTATTATCTTTAAGAAAATTTCTTGGAAGTGTCTTGCCCATATATCAATTTTTTCTTCTCTAATTCTGTATTTTTTGCATACTTTATTGATTCTGTTGCTACAACTATACCCAATATACAACAATTTAAGGATAATAAATCTCCTTCAATGGCAACATTATGTTCAAGTTCATGATCATGAAATGGAGTATATTTTATGGAAGGCTATTAAGAATGTTCTTGGTGTTGAACCAAAAATCATGAAGTTATTTTTTCAATAACTCTCTAACTTATTGTGGAAGTGACTGTGGAAGACTAAAATTGGTTTTCTCCCATGTTTTATTTCGAGTATGACATAAAGTCATTTTATTCGGATTTGTTCTATAAATCTTGAATTCAACAAGAGTAAGTATAGTTCAAAAATAAAAAAGCAAGCGGTAAGTGTCCTCAAGAGTTTAATGTTCCTGTACATTAAGGTTAGTAATTTACTTATTATAATTAATTTATATGGTGATATGTTTAATTGCATAATTAATGGCTTTAACATTTTCGTTTAAGATCATGGGCTAAAGGTTTTCAAAGAGAATATAGTTGATTGTCATTGATTGATTTTTTTTTACATAGTAGTCATTGATTGATTTGAGTGTTAGTTTATATGTTGGTATATGATCAAGGGAGGTGAAAGAAAGAGTGTCATAACCAAAATATTACTCATGAGATATTTTTAAAAGAAGTAATCAACTATGAAAATTGATTACTTAGAATATTTGTTGTGAAAACTAAGTTTTGGAAATAAAATACAAAAAAGCAACAAGTTGCCTAATCATGGCAATTTATTGTCTTAGAGTAACATTTTAATTTTTGGTCTGAACATTTGTACAATGCTGAAACGTTATCAAAAGGTATTCTTTCATTTTTAAGGAGTTGTCAGTGGCAACTATTGAGTTTCAAAAAAATATGAACTCAATACAAAATGGTTGACAAAAAAAACTAAAGTGATATATCTCTTGATCAAAAATACCAAAGTCAATGATGATGTTTATTCTTCTTTGAATAAAACTTCTAAATATGTTTGCCAATAATTAGAGGTATTGAGATTTACTTGGACATTTTATATATTCTTATAATGTTTTAAATATGATGAAAATTTGCTATGTGACTTTAGCATAATGATTATATTAAGATGATTGATTGATTGCACAATTGTATTTAAATATATTTGATTGAAGTTTATTCAAAAGATGGATATATTTTGAAGACTTATTATTTGATTTTTTTTTCATTTTACTGTGACTAGGTGTTTGATTAAAGGATCATGTACAAGTAAAATGAAAGGAAAGGTTGAAAAAACAACCTAACGAGAATTATGTGAGAAATCACAACTAGATGAAATGGTGTGAGAATGAACACAAAAAACATTGACATTGATTATACACTTCATTTGAATACAAAGATATTAGAAATTTATTGATGAAATATACTTAACAATGATATCATTAAAAGTATGTTATAAATTGGCTGTGTGACATATTGTTTATGATTATAGCTTCTTTAATTATGTCATATTCATATTTGAGATTGATACCCTTTTTTTGCATTATTATTTCTACCAATTATTCATGTGTTAAATAAATATATCATAAAAATATTAAATAACTGATTATATAAATGTCACATGTTATACATGTGTCATTAAGGATAATATAATAAAAGAATTTATTAAGTAATCTTAGATTCTGTAAATTGTATAAAAATCTTACATTTTCTAAAATCAACAAAACACAAGAATCATCTATTCCTTTTAAATTATTTTTTGTCAGAATTATTTACCTTCCCAATATTTAAAATCTGCGAACTAAACGCTTCTTAGGCTTAATATATGTACATCACTTTCTATGCATAATGAAGGCAAATCAGCGTTGATAACCAAACCACTTCGCTCTTCTCATTTACATCTCTTTATACTAGATCTAGACCTGATAATTTGTATATTCATGTCGTGTAACATATTAAAATTTATGTATTTATATTATGTTTTACATAAAAATTACGTGTCATAATTTGTGTCGATATAAAAAAATAAAATATAATTTTTTTTTGTTGTTATTAAACTCATATAGTTATTGATAAAATTTTAAATTGGGTTATCTCATGTCGTTTTTTATATTGCATTTGTATGATATCACCATATCGTATTTTAAATCACTAAATATCGTTAGATCGATAAGTTCTCTCTTCCCCCTACTTTATCTGTTTTTACAATCCGTTTGCGTTTTTCTTTTCTCATTGCCCTTTTATATATCCAAAATTTGGTTGATCGACTCGAGATTAACACTTGACAAGGAGACTAGGCAATTTTCCCTTCCATTCCCATTCTTTCATTATTCTTTTTCTCTTTTGCTTTTTCATTTTTCTTTCTAGTTTTGTTCTATTTTTTATTTTTCAATTTTTTTAATTTTAAAAAACTAAAAAATATTTAATTCAATATCTACAAAGAAATATTCTATTGGTATATATTTTGACTAATTTGAGTTTAAATTAAAAGTGTTGTGTTAAAAATTTATCAATTAGTTCAAAGATGATTAATTGATAAAATTTGATCAACAAATTAAAAAAATGGTAAATTGGATCATTGACCCTTAATTTTATGACAAAGAATCTACACATGTCATCATGCCTTTCTTAATTTATTGATATTTAGATTTATGATTATATTCGTTAATGATATTTTTATCAATTTTGTTATAGGTTTCAATCCAAGTCCTCTATTAGAAGATAAAGCACAACCTTTACAACCTATTTTGGAGGTATTAACTTTTGTTTCTTTTAGTTATCTTTTTCAAGTCTCCTAAACAAAACTAAACAAAACTAAAATTTTTACTTGGATTAATATGCAATTTGATCCTTAAATTTTATTATTTTTTATGATTTAGTATCGATAAAAAATTTATGATTAAGTATATCAATTTTCATTCTCATGCCATTTTTTTCCTTAAATACTAACTTTATTAATAATATGCTAATACAGCAATAAAACAACGAATAAGATCATAACACATAATGCATTTTCAGTGGCCATCTATATTTGCCACATCATTTTTTTATTAATATATTATCAATAGTATAAAGTGTTTGACGAAAATAAAATTAATATATTAAATCATGAATTTTTTTTTATAAATATCAAATTGTAAAAGTAATATAGTTCAAGAGTATAAATTGCATATTAATATTTTTTTTTCATTTTTACTTTGGTTTTAACTTTAAAAAGTTATCAATAGTTTGTATATTTTTTAATGAGCTAAGGTCTAAATATATTCTATTCTATCTTCGCTAAAAGAGTCAAATTTATCATTCATTTTTGGATCAGTGCAATTATAACATTATGCTTTTAATTTGATAAAAAAAATCAAAATTTAAAGGTGAAAAAAAATATTTTGGAAGAAAACAAGACAACGATCTTCAAAATAATAATTTTTACTATTAACTTTTGATTATTTTTAATTAAATTAAAATTATGATGTCAAAATTTTTAATATATATATATATATATTTATTGGTTGCTTCAAAGCATGCCAAAAGTTTTCTTATAGCTTTTTTTTGAAATAATAGCTTTTTAAGTACCAAAGAAAACATATAATTTTACAAAAGCATAATAGGGGCCGCCTGAATATTAAAGTAAATATTGTTAGGACTGAAAATTTAGGTAAAAGTATTAAACTTCAAGTCCTGTAGTTAGAGACATTAAGTTCCATGGTATTAAAATGAAAAAAGGAAGACTTTAACAGAAAGCTCCAATTTGAACTTTTACTATTATATATTTTCAATAAATATTCTCTTACAAGTTGCATACAGAATGGTCAAAATGTTAAAGATGGCAATGGTTACGGTATAAAAAGATATTCACATTATCCAATCTAATTAAGTAGGATTAGAGTATCTTATAAAAGTTTTGAGTAAGATACATATAATAAGTTTAGGGCATTTATTATTCGAATCTAATTATAAACAATGAAGTTTTTAACATTTACAAATCATTTAGTAAAATTTTTATATTATCTAAATATAAAATATATTTTTAAATTTATTAATTTAATTTTGTTAATAAAACATATAAAATTTTATTATTGAATTCGAATTGTGTTAGGTTCTTGTAATAAGTACTAGTAGATTTTTAACTAAATAAATGGAATCAGATTTTAATAGGATATTACTAAATGGTTTCACTGTATCTTAAAATTAGTAGATACTTTATCTATTGTCATTCCTTCAAAAATGTTAAGTTAAGGATGTATTGCTTTTTTTTAAATGTGTTATTTTGGATTTTTTATTTTTTGTTGTAATTCATTATTATCTATATTAACATAGGGTTTCAAATTAAATCAATTGGCTGCTTTGGCTGAGATATATGACATGTTAGAAGAGCTATGTTCTGAATATGAGCTTGAATTGGCTTTAACATGGACTAGTGAGGCTAATGTGAATGGAATTAGGTTCGATCCATACAAGAAACGTACTCTATTCATCCAAAGTACTTTTTGTTATGGGAAATTCTGAGTTTCTAACAGTTTTGGGAGAAGATATAGAAGGGTTTGCTAGGAAAGTGCTTCAATCAAGTGAGCACTTCCTTGTTGAGCCAAGTATTTTTGAGCTTATGAAACTTGACGATCCAAATGACGTTGAATGGTTATATCCTAGCGATTATGCTGCTGCTGCAATCTGTTTACAAAACCGTTACACCACTGATGACGTTTATGTAGTAGCATTCTTGTGGCCTGTATCTGAAACAGAGCCTGAAAAAGCAAAATCCTTGGCACTTCCTATCTTCAGTAACTTGACAAATATGAAGAAAAGGTTTGTAAAAGTAAGGGTTCAGGACACTGAAGGTGGGTCTTTGGAAGAAGCTATTTCGAACATTCCGCAGGTGACAATGCCTATGAGAAATCCTCCACCAGCTTCATCTACCAATGATTCTATATACTCAAACACAAGGGGTGGTCATGTAATGGAAATACAAGGGCTTAATGAGCAGGTAGCAATCTTAATTGTATTTACATGATCTGATGCTATATTATAGGCCTAGGGTCTAATGATAATAATATTTGCTTTTAGGGGGGAGTGATTCCAAATTTCCACCGACCATTACCTATGCATGCTTCAATAACGGCTGGAACAGGTGGAGTAGTATTGGAAACACCAGGGCCTCATGAACGGGTAATCTATTGTTCCTTTATCACTATATTCAAGGTTACAATTATATTAACTGCTCTTAATTTCTCCATAAAAATGTTGTATTAATTAATCTTTTTACACTTTAGTTATTCATTTTTTTACCTACAAATCTACCTTATTGTTTTAAAACATGAAAAGTTAACTGTTTAAAAATGACAGTGACTGTAAATAATTTGTTTTTTTTTCTTTTTCTAACTATGGATTTGTGCTCTTGTTTGCTTATTATGTTAGGAAAGTGGGAAACAAACTTCTTTTGGACCTATTGCAACTAATGAGAATGAGATGGTAAGGCCTAATGTAAATAACTTAGTAATCTCAAGTGCTAAAAAAAAAAAGTTGACATCTGATGTTTGGGAAGAATTTAGCAAGAAGAAAGAAAGGGATGGGAAAGTACTTGCTATATGTGTATATTGTGATAGAAATTTTGATGGTTCAAGTAAGAAAGGAACTACGCACCTAAGAAATCACTTGAAAAGATGTAAAGAAAGAGCAGCGAAAGTTGGGAAAGATGATTTAAAAAATGAAAGTGCCAATGAAGGTAATTCTTCATTTGATCAAGATAGGAGTAGCATGGATGTTGCAAGAATGATTATTAAGCATCAGTACCCATTGAATATAGTTGAGCATGAATTTTTCAGCATTCTTTTGAAAAATTTGCAACCAATGTTCAAACTTCAATCACAAGATGCTCTATCATCTGAAATAATTCGTGTCTACAAAGAAGAAAAGCGTAAACTCCTTCGATATTTTGATAAGCTATCATGTCGCTTTAATTTGATAATTAGTTTGTGGACACATGATCTTGAAAAGACTGTGTATTGTTGTTATGTTGTACAATTTATTGATGACAATTGGGAATTGAAGAAGAAAATTCTTGCTTTAAAAAGTTTAGGGAATCAATTTGAGAAAATGACTTTCGTTGAAAATTTCAAAAAGTTTCTTGTGGATTGGAATTTTGACAAGAAAGTTTGTTCCTTAACCATACATAATTCTTCTTCATGTTTCGAGATAGCTGAAGAAATAAGAAAGAGCTGGCAATGTTTTGTAGATCCATATCCTTCAAGCACATTTTTCATCAGTAGTGATGAATGTGTTTTTGGTCTCCTTGGTAAAGATAACTCAGATGAGAAGAATGTTGGAAAATCTATTGATGGTGCCATTAGAACTTCAAATGCATGTTTGCGGGACATTTTTGGCATCTACAAGAAACTGAGTCAATGGGATGGAAGAGGATATCCATTGATGAATGTAAAATCTGATAACAAGTGTTGGACATGTAGCTTGGTTTTGGCAATTGCACTTGTTCTTGATCCGCAGTTTAAATTTAATTTTGTGGAGTTCTCCTACAATGCAATCTATGGCAATGATGCAACCAGGAGTCACTTGAGAATGATTCGTAATACTCTCACTGATATTTTCAATGAATATACAAGTAATATGTCTAGTGGGACACTGTTCTTCGATGATACTAATTCATCGACATTGTTGAATGCTGAAGAAAATATAATGGAATCTTTTCATAGTTGGTACAATTCCAAAAGAAATACTGGAGCCTCATCGATGTCAGAAACTTGATAAGTATCTTTCTCAACCTATTAATTATTTCTTCCATCCAGAGTTTGACATATTGGTTGGTGGTGTGAACAAGCTTCTCACTTTCCTATTCTTGCGAGGATGGTTCGTGATATCTTAGCAATACCTGTGTCATCTATTATATCAGGTTCCACTTTCAATGAAAAAGTTTTGATGGACAATCCAATATTCAGTGGATTAGATCCTCAGATCATAGAGGCGATGATATGTGGCAGGGAGTGGTTAGAATCTCCTAAAGAAGGTAATATTGAATTAAGTTCTTATTATCATCTTATCTCCTATAGAAAATAAATAATAAAGTAGAGTAATATGGAAATAAGTCTATTATTGAAAAACCCCTTTATAGATGTGGGTCAAAACTCTGCAGTTTTAGTTAACATGGAACCAAGCTATATATTGATACAAACTGAAAACTTGGAAGACCAATACACTTTTAAAGAGGTATTAAAACTTTGAGTAAGTTAGGCGATGAAGCTTCTAACTCACTCAACAGCTATAGTTGTGCTATCTTGTTGAACTTGTATTCTGCATCATTGCAACATGATGTTCTCGTTAACTTATTGTCGCAGATGACAGAGTAAATCTTGCACCAATGCAGAACAGGGTATGTGCATATGGTATAATTGATCAATTGAATGTGTTTTGCTACATTATAACCTTGAATTCTGGAAATTTGAGTTTCTTTTATGCATTTTCATAAGATAGGCTAAAAGGAAGACGGTGGTGAAAGAGACTTATGCGGTGAAAAGTTGCAAGAAGGGGACAACAACATGGACAGAAAAGGTTACACTCAATAATTACCTTCATATTTTGTAAACCTATATGACGAATACTCAACCTAAAATCTTGGGCTAGTACTATATTTCTAACATCTCATAAATATGCCTAAAAAGATTACATATTTTCAGAATTGATTTATTATTAAATGTTTTTCAGAATTATTTGGACTTTTGTGATGTTCGGGCATATTTGGTGTCTCCTTTCACAGATAAAGAATTAGAGCATTTGAGAAAATGGCAAACTCATGCAATAAGTGGGTATGTACAATACATCATCTCAGTCTCAGTCATGATCATATGGCTTAATTAAGGGGTCATAATCATCAGAACAATAATGAAATTTGTTGTACTTGTTTTAAAGAGAATCTGTTGGACAAGATAAGATACGGGATAGTGCGTTAGCATCTTTGCTTATGATTCCTCCTAATGATGTTGATTATGAGAATGCACCAAATTACTACATTGAGGATACCGTAAGTATCCTTTCAAAATAGTACTTCTTTTTCATTTTTTTTCTTTAAAAAAATTACTTGAATTAGTGCCTTTATTGCATCTGTCTTGCCCATATTTGAAGGTTGTGAATCAGTTTTTCGTTTTACTTAAAAGAAGATATGAGAAATTCACACATAAGTACATGAAGCACCATTCATTCGATTCTTCTATTGCTGTGAGTACCTTAATTCATTCGATTCTTCTATTGCTGTGAGTACCTTAATTTATTCAAAATCTTAATTAAGTTATATATACAAGTTAGCTGGCATGATAATAACTTTTCAACTATATATGATGAATTCAGACTTACTTGATTGAGGGATCAAGGACTGAAGTTGAAGTGTTAAGTTGGTTTAAAAAAGAGGACTTCGAAGGCGTGAGCAAGGTAATTTTTTTTTCTATAGGGTAATTAGTTGTTCTAGTTTAATGCGTATATAATTAACACTATACTAGTAAGAAGAATTGAAACATTTTTTTCTGTCTGATGCAAGTTGTTTCTGCCAATATGTTTAAATAAACATTGGCTTCTTTTTTATGCTGACATTGATGATAAAAAATTGCTATGGTTGGATTCAATGAAAATTTCTCGAATGTCCAATGATTCAGTGAAGCATGTAATCCAACGGTGGTTTTTAGAGTTTCTATTGCCGTTATTGGGACATGATCTTAAGGATTGGTCATTTGAGGTCCCAAAAGATATTCCTATGCAAAAGAAGTAAGCAAAAAAAAATTTCTAATATGAGAGAAATAATGAAAATGAAGCTTTTGGTATTCATTTTGTGGTTTATAAAAGGTTCATCACCCATAGTTAATTACATAAACTTCGAATCTTTGCAGCTCTGTGGATTGTGCACTCTTTGTGATGAAATATGCAGACTGCCTCACACATGGCAATTATTTTCCTTTCACTCAAGATGACATGCCTCACTTTCGACATCGGACGTTTCTTGATCTATACTTTGGAAGTATATGTTTGGGAAGGAGCCAAGGTTATTAACTCTGCTAAAGGATTGGCATTTTAACGGGACATTATGTTTAATTTACATGGTTAATTTTTTTAATGTAATTTAAAACACATGTTTGCTGTATTGCTTAATCTAATTTAATGGCTATCCTATTTTTTTTATCTTGGATTTTTCTAATCTCAGTTTTAAATCCTAACAATGATCATTTTCTCGTTTTAAACCCGGACAGTCCAAATCTTTAAGATCATTTACCCATTGGATCACTCTCTCCTGAATCTGATTAAGGAAGATGAGGTCATTATCAACCTGCATAGCGTTATTGGTAGCGGGTATGTATCCATCCAACTTTGGTGTCTGCGATTGCATGTTTATACTCTGCAAACATTGATTGGTTTTTTATGGTGTTTTCTGGGCATTGTTTTATACATAGGTGGTCATTTATAGCTGGGAGATTATCAGATAGTGAATTACTGGAACACACATCTAAGAAGAAAGTTACTGAACATAGGTATTGATCCCGCGACTCACAGACCACTCAATGAGGCTGCTCAGATGTAACAACAATATCTTTCAGCGGTGCTAAACAAAAAGAGGAAGACAAGAATAATAACAGATAGATGAATTTGGGCAATGCCCTTTGCTACAATCTGCAGCCCATTTTATAATTAAAACTGAACCTTGTTCTTTTTAGAGTTAATTAGATTGTTAGAGATTCGGTACTTAAATTTTAAAAAAATATACAAATTGATATATAAAGAAATATATATACACTTTACAGACTAAATTTTTAATTATTTATCTTGTTAACCCACATTTAATATGTATTATTGGTATAATATATAAAAGCAAATCCCTTATAATAATTATATTATAATTAATTAATTATAATTTAAAATTTTATAAAATATATAAAAAATTTTGAATGAATCTCACACTTGATGCATTCATTTTGTAATATAATAAGTGATATATTTTTACATAATTTTTTATTATCGTTAAATGATCATAGATCTATAATAAAAAAATTACATATAACATACTCTCTATACATATATTTTGCACCTTCCAAAATTTTAGTTTAAAAAATAAATTCTACTTCTACACAATTTAAACACGAGTAATGAAATCTTTATTTCAAATAAATTACAGCATATCCTAATAATTCAGAGCCAAATAGCAAGTTAGAAAGTAAAGCATTTCCTATTTTATTTTGATAACCGAATATTTTGTCTCTTACTCTAGAGATTTCTTTGGGCAAAAATTATATTTCTAGAAGAGTTGCAACAAGCCGAAAGAAAGAAAGGAAAAGTTATCCTCACTCTAAGCCTCATGTTAAACTACGATTAAGTTTAGGTTATCAAATTACCATAGAGGGTATTTAATGGTAAAAGGGAATAGTGATCTTTTTTGCTCTTAGAACCTTTTAGCAAAGAACTAAGGGTATTTTTATCATTTGTACCGAACAAAGATTTAGAAACTCATGCAAGCTATGAAAAAAGAGCTAAAAACAAAAGCAATAGCCTTTGAAGTTGAGCTCAAATTTCTAGAGACCTTGCCCTTTACTGAAGAAATAGATAGAGTCATGCCTTTCAAGGGATTCAAAATGCCAACATTGAAAACCTATAACAGTACTTTTGACCCCTTTAATTATTTGAAACTTTATAAAACTAACATAATGATGCAAGGGGCAAACGAAGCTCTAGTGTGCAAAAGCCTAGCAACCACACTCAAGGGCATAGTTTGATCCTGGTACAATAGCTTGGAACCGAGGTAAACCATTACATTTGAAGAACTAAGCCACTCGTTGCCCAGGTTTGTGAGTAGTCAAAAAACGAAGAATACAACCCTAAGTTTGATGTCAATCCATGAATCTTTAAATAGCTATATCACAGATTTTAATGAGGTAGTTCTGCAAGTCAAAGACTTGGAATAGATAGCAACCATAGCCGTCTAGACAAGTGGACTCCACGACAAAAAGTATCATTTAAAGTTAACATTATCACTAGAACTGCTTAAAACTTTGGCTGACATCTTATTGATATCCAAGAAATACATAAATGTTAAAGCTACAATGAAAACTAACCAAGGTAAGAGAAACTCATCCCTTTTTTTCGGTGACCAAAGTAAAAGAGGCTCATCTCCTTTTTTTGATCATAAGAAAGGTAAAGATTTCTATGATCTTCCTCTAAAAGGGAGACGACATAAGGCTAGAAGCCTTAGTGGCAAAAAAAGCTATATTGCACTAAATATCGCATAAGAGAGGATTTTGATGCAACTTGAAAGAAACTCCAACCATGGATGGCCAAAGTCCTTAAAACAGAACACGATGAGGGATCCGACCAAAATATGTGCTTTCATAGAAATATAGGCCATAACATTGAATATTGTGTTGACCTAAAAAATGAGATTGTAGCTTTGATAAGAAGAGGTCAGCTAAGGAGATTTATGGGTCAGAGAAGATAAGACCAACCTAGGATGGACTATAAGCAAGATTGAAGAAGGCCCATCCGAAGTAGAGAGGAAAGATTGGAACATGGAAGAATGAAAGCCCATAGGGATGAGCCGAGTCAAGAAGAGGTCCTAATTGATAATAACAAGCCAATTGCTATGATGATTAATGTGATCACTAGGGGTAGCTTTACCTCAACTAAGAGAAAATTTAACCTAGACATAGTTACGGTTGTAGGCACCTCAGTAAAAAGAGAAAAAGACTAGAAAGATGAGTTAATCTCATTTAGCTCGTAAGATCTTGAAAGAATCCAACATCCACACGATGATGCTATAGTGATCATAGTCTTAGTGTACAACTACGTAGTCAAAATAATCTTATTTGATAATAGGAGTTCAATCAATGTCATGTATTATGGTTGCGTGAAGAAAATGAGAATTACTGAAGATCAATTAAAGCTTATCACCTCAACATTTGTAAGGTTTGGGAACGAGTAGGTACTAGTAAAAAGAATAATCAAGCTTTCAATCTCTTTAAAGATTAAACCAAAAACTATTACCTTAGTTATAAAATTCATGGTTATAGATGTCCCATTAGCTTATACTATAATATCTAGCTATTCTATAATGCAACTTATATGCTTAGCTCTCCATTTAAAAGTTAAAATCTCGACACCCAATAGGGTTGGAGAGGTCCGAGAAAATTAGTCTATGGTACAACAGTGTTATGTTACAATAATGAAGGGTACGATTGGAAAGTAAACGTGCAATTCAATAGAAATCGAGGTCAAAAGCAAAAAAGGACAACCACTAGAAAATGACAAGCAAAAAGTTACCAGCTAAAGTACATAATGTAAGATTGGCCTAATGAAAACGCACTCTTAAACCACTCTGAGCTTTTAAGCTCTAACAAAAAGAAAACTTTTGTTCTAGTTTTTACATTGTTTGAGGTAACTCCAAAGAAAACCAAGCTTTTAAGTTGATGCAAACAATCACATGTCATTTGGACTGAGCTAATATACTGGCCATAATATAGTGTAAAATGAAAAATACATACTAATTTCACTACATATATGTTTAACAAGTTATTCACAGTACACTGATCATCACATTGGGATTTGTTTTCATAGGAAATGATCCTGACCTAATTAAACAAAAAGAGATAATTGATTAAAGATCATATTCAGACAAAAATTGACCTGAGTCGATTGAAGACCTTAAAACAGTTCTATTATAGGATAGCATCCTTATAAAACATATACAGATCACAACTAAGCTTCAACATAAGGATCAGTTAATTCAACTCTTAAAAAATAATGCCAACCTGTTCGCTTAGACACCATTTGACATGCATGGTATTGATATCAAAGTGATAGTTGATAGATTGCATACTAACCCTGAGGTAAAATTAGTTCAACAAAAAGAAGAGAATTTTTATCGTGAAAAAACAACAGGCTATCGAGGGAGAGGTTGATAAATTATTACGAGCAGGCTTTATCAGGGAAGTTTACTATCCTGAATGGATAGCCAATATGATTAAGGTCAAAAAACAAAGTGGAAAATGAAGGATATATGTTAACTTTACCAACCTGAATAAAGCTTACCTAAAAAATAGCTTTTTTTCACCCTAGTATAGATCGATTGATGAATGATAGTACCGAGCATGGCCTTCTTAGTTTTATGGATACCCATTCTTGTTACAATCAAATCAAAATTTTAAAGGATAATGAGAAAAAAATAGCCTTTATTACTAAAAAAAGCCCTTACTATTATAAGATAATGCCCTTTGGATTGAAGAATGCAGAGATGACTTACCAAAAGCTAGTAATCAAGGAGTTTAAAAACTAGATCGGTTGCAATATGAAAGTGTATGTAGATGACATGATAGTTAAAAGTAAGAGTTTGATCGAGCACTTAGAAGACCTTAAAAAGACCTTCAACACCTTGAGAAGGTATAATATGAGCTTAACCTAAGCAAATATGCTTTTGGGGTCATGTTGGATAAGTTTTTCGATTACATGATTAACAAAATAAGGATAAAGGCAAACCCGAAAAAAGTTTAGGCAATCTTAAACATAAAAGTGCTTATCTCAATAAAAAAAGTACAAAGGTAGCTAAAAGAATAGCTGACTTAAGTAGATTCATGTCCAAGTCAACGAAACGATGTTTGTCATTCTTCAAAATCCTTAAGAACATCTTTAACTTCAAATGGACTCTTTAGTGCCAAAAAATTTTTAAAAGACTCAAAAAATACTTGTCATTTCTACCCATTCCATCCAATCTAAGACTCGGTGAGATCTTGCAACTATATATAACTAGCATAAATCGAACCATCAGCTCAATCCTAATCCAAAAGAAAGAAAGGAAATAAAGATTGATCTATTTTGTAAGCAAGGTATTAATAAGACTAGAAACTAACTATAGCGGCATAAAAAAGTTAGCTTATCCTATTGTTACCTCAGCAAAAAAACTTAGGCTATATTTCTAAACTCACACAATTCACATACGGACCGACCAATTATTGAGATAGGTCTTACAAAGGCTTGAAAAGTAAAAAAGGCTAATTCAATGAGTGATGGAATGCAGTGAATTTGACCTATATATATTACCCACGTTAACTTTAAATTCATAGGTACTAGCAGACTTTGTCACAGAACTTATTTTGGTATATCTTGAAAGATAATCCGAGACAAAAGAAAAAACTTCGGATAATAATGATTGAAAACTCTATGTTAACGGATCAGTCACAAGCCATAGTGGAGGAGTTAGCTTTATTCTAATCAACCTGGAAGGTCTACAGTACTTATACACCTTGATATTCAAGTTTAAAGCATCCAATAATAAAACAGAATATGAGACATTGATAGTTGGTCTAAAGTTGACAACTGAGCTAAATGTTTAACGTATAATCATGTATAGCAATTCTCAACTGGTGATTGGTCAGATAAATGAAAATTTTGAAGCTCGAAAAGATGGGATTCAAAAATATCTTGACAAAGCACTAGCCTTGGTGCTGACTTTAAGAAAGTCAAAGTGTAGAAGATATCAAGATCAAAAAATTCACTACCAGACACTTTGTCTAAGTTGGCTTTAGAAATAACAATGAAAAGCTCGAACTAAGTTCTAGTAAAATAGTTAACACATAAAAAACATCGAGGACAAGTTTATAGGACATACCATAAAGAAAGAAACCTGGATGACGCCAATCAAGAAGTACTTAACCACGATAGCACTATTTGAGGAAATAATCTAAGTTAAGGCATTGATGAGAAAGGCTTTTTGGTATACAATGATTGAAGAAAAATTGTACAATAAATCTTTTAACTTGCTTTACTTAAGATATGTTACGAAGAAAAAGCAAACTATATCCTACAAGAAATCCATAAAAGAATATGTGGAAATCACCTTGAACCTTGGTCATTGGCCTACAAAGTGCTTAGACAAGGCTATTATTAGCCTACCATCAGAAAGGATACAATCGAACTAATAAAAAGATTCGATAAGTGTTAAAGATTCAATAAGTGTTAAATATTCACTTACATGCAACATCTTCTTTCAACTAAGCTTATTTCTATCATCAGTCCATGGCTCTTTATGCAATGAAAAATGGATATCCTATGACTGTTTAGCCCAACCACTAATCAAAGGATATTTGTCTTAGTAGCAGTAGATTACTTCATCAAATGGCTTAAAGCTGAGGCTTTGGCTACCACCACAGAGGCCCAAGTCGAGAAATTCATTTGAAAAAATATAGTTTGTAGATTCAGTTTACCTTAATCTATAATAATGGATAATGACAAATAATTCAAAAATCAAAGGTTTAATGAATATTTAAACCTTTATATTAACCTTAGATTTATGTCGGTTGCCTACATTCAATCCAGCGGGCAGGCTAAAGCTACAAACAAGATAATATTAGAAGCTCTGAAAAAAAGATTCGATGTAGCAAAAAAAATTGGATTGATGAACTACCAAAGGTGTTATGGGCCTTGAGGATGACCATGAAGGTATCCTATTCCATTTAGCATTCGAAACAAAGGTTGTGGTATTTATTGAGATCTATCTTTCGAGCTTAAGAATTAAATTATGGTCAAAAGAGGGAAATAAGGAAATGCTTAGGGTTGACCTTGATCTCGTTAAAGAACAAAAGGATATAGCCTTCACACGGATAGCAACTTATTAGAAAAAATGGCCAATTATAATAATAAAAGAGTCTGACGTAGGCATATTTGGAAAGATAACTTGGTACTTAAAAAAGTAAAAATTTCAAGAATAGATTACGAAGGTGGCAAATTAGCCTCGACCTGAAAAGAACCATATGTTATTAAAAAGATTATCCATGACATGACCT